TTCAGATTATTTTTTTTTTTTAGCTCTGATGAAGCTCTATCCATCAGGCCCATCAAAAAAAAAAAAACCCCCACCCAAACCACTACAATTTTGGGATGCACCTAGTAGCATTACATTTATTAGGAATAAAGACTTCTGAGTTCTGGTGCATTTGTGCGTGCGGGGGTCATTATGCTACCGCTATGAGGTATCTAGTTTATTGTCATTTCAACCCCTAAATGCCATGGGAATATATATTTTTATTAAGTTTACTATGTTTGTTTTATTAGTTCATTGTTCAACATGCCTTTTTAAAAATAAAAACCAAAATTAACAATTTAGTGAAATTTTTTGAGGACCCCCAAGATACCTTTCGTGGACCCTTGGGGGTCCTGGGACCCCAGTTTGAGAACGTCTGGTCTAGACATACAGTGGCTGTAATAGAACAGAGCTGCTCAGTCGCAGGGAGCAAAAAAATTTCTGAAGTAAAACGGTGATACTTGTGCTTTTAATCTCACCCTAGAGGTAGCAATAGATGTCACAGAAATGTGACACCCCCTTCAAATGAAACAACTGGTACCAGCACTAATTGAAATTTTGCATGCAAAGTGACAATGCCTGGGCCCTCGGCAGCATGGATTAAGGCTCGAATRGAGACAGATTCTTTGTGAAAGCCTACTGTGGCGGTTGGCGTGCAGGCCAGCTCCATGCATCTGCTCACTGGGTGCACTGAGAAAACACCGGATTGTGTTTGGTCRCTCATTTTACCTTTAACTAACCCCTTTGCAGAAATCCCCTCTGTCTTTTATTTTGTTTTGGATTTTTTTTTCTTAAATTATACACTCACAGCTGCTTCTGTTGTGGTCAGGGAGCGGCAGAATTTACATATCAAAACATTTGTACTAAACTTTTAAAAGGTTTAACATTCACAGTGTTTTATACTGTTAGGTGGAGTTGAAATCACAAAATGTGATATGTGTAATAAGATTAACTACTTTTTTGTATATGTTGGTGACATTTACCCCAATAAGAATGCACTTGTTTATGACGCACATCTGTTGCAAGAAATCACAAAAGAGAAGTTGACCATTGCTGACTGGACTGGAAAAACAGAAGCAGATAGAAGCCAGTCAGATCTGACCCTGCCACATAGCTAAAATTAATAAAATTCAGCATGTGACAGCTTGRTCCAGATTTAGCATGAAACCAGACAATGAGCTAAACCAGGGATGATGGGAACCTTTCTTTTTGTGCAACTGTTGAACTACAGAAGAACTGTGATTCTAACAATAAAGTAGAGATTGAATGCAGCACCTTGGGTACGCTTTTTTTCCTCCCTCTGCAACGACTTAGTTCAGGGTGAAGCCTCTCCAACTGACGGATACGTTATTTCCCCCTCAACAGTTTGTGTTTTCACATAACAGCATTTTGTGTGAAAAAGTACAGAGAGAATTATCAAACCTTTAGCATAAAAAGCTCAAATGCAGTATTTAAGTTACTAAAACGTAAAACACTAACTTGAGCCATGTTTGCCCGTGTTAAACTGAGTCACGTCCAGTCCTGAATAAAGAGCCGAAGGAATGCAGCACACACTGAAATGCAATCAAATCTGTGAGACATTTTTTGTAAAGACTTCATGCTGTGATCTCATTCTACCCCACTTCACCATCCTCTACTGTGGTTTTGCTCCCATTATGTTTTCTTTCACGGAAAAGGGAAAGCAAAAAAAAAAATGCTGTATCAAAGTGAATTATCATTCTGCTAACCAAGCCATACTTTGCATTAAACTGTAGATGAGGTTGCGTCACAGCAACACCAGTCATCCCAGAAAATCATGCAGACAGTGCAAAGTCAAAGGTCACAATAGAAAAAAAAAAGTGGGGGGTGGAGAGCGGAAAAGCCAAATAATCCATCCAGTAAAACTCATCCTCCGAACAATACAGTCTACAACAATTTTATGGCTGGAAATGAATCTGAAAATTTCYACTCAACAGAATTAGATGAGCGCCGCTGTTGTTGGAAGGGCTGTCGACTTAGCGCTGATGACAATGAATGGGTACGCTAATGAAGGGATAAATCCACTGTGTGTTTTCACAGACATGTTTGACAGAGCTAGGCTAATTTCCACGGCAGTACTGCGGCCATTAATTTTCGGAGAGGCTCGCCTGTTACGGTTACCCAAACCAACAGCACATGGCATCAGTTTACATTAACACTAATCAACGATTTAAGGTTGGTTTGCAATCCATGGGGAACATTACTTTGAAAAACGTCTGAATGTAACTAATGAATGAACCTAATTTGCAGATTGGAGTGGTACAACTTACTGTTGTATATTAGTTTAAATAAAGATGAGACACTGATAGAAACAGGCTAAAGTGTAAATATTAATGCTTAAGTGCCAGTTTACATTATTGGGGCTTGAAGATGTTTGTCAGAATTGATGAATACTTGTAAAATGGCTACTTGTTGTCATTTTGTTGGGTTCCAATGCATTTTTTTAATCCTTTAATCCTCTCCAGCATGCACCCTGCCTAATTCATCAATTATTTGTAAAACAAATAGCACTTTTGTACTCACTTCACAGAACTTTGTTTTGTATCGAGAAGCAATATCATGATTTCTGAAGCACTTTACTGTACGTCGTCACTTTTTAACTTAACTTTTCTGTCAATGTGTAGTTTTTATTCAGCAATGAATGAGGACGTTCAACGTTAAAAATACTTTTCATTCAGTAATTTAACGCTCGTGCGTATTCAAAGAAAAATGTAAGGAATGTCTTTCATTAAAAACAACAATGAAAGAGATTTCGCTTCGCTAAACGTGTCAAAGAAATCCACTGGAGGGCTCTTTCCTGTTGCATGCTGGGATAGCTTTTTTTTTTTTTGGATTAGAGCTGCAGTGACCTCTTTTTCAACTCTTTATTTTTTTTTCTACGTAACCAATCTACGTAATTTCATTGGACGGCGAAGTAGGGTGAGTTACAGTGTAGAATCGAGAAGCGGAACTGCATTTTGGTAGGCGGCGAGTTTCTGAAGCGAAAAATGAAGCACCGCGGCCTGGAAGGTGTTTCCAACATGCACGCCGAGTTTCGAAGCAGCGGCTGGACTGTAAAAACATTTACATAATATTCAGAAAAGGCTATGAGTCTTGAGTCGTTTGTAAATCAAATCTAAAATGAGCAAGACGAGCAGAGTCAACATCGAGAGTGGCTCTGTTTGCGTATTTTAGAGACAGAGAAAACAAGCGGAAGTGGAACACTGTTTAGTGTGAAACTGTTGTTATTTTCAGCAGTTTTCATATCCTGCTCTACGCTCGCACTTGAACTGATAAAACAAACGTAAATGAAAATAAAAATAAATAAATACGTATCCCAAATCAAGCAGTAATAATACAAATTAAATGAAAACAAATTGATGTGAAACACATAAAATGATAAAGTTACATAGTAATCTCATTAACTTTTGTTCAATATAAAAACATTTATATGTACATGGGGGGGGGGGGTGATATTTACCAGGATGTGGAAAATGATAGCTAATTTGATTAACTTTAGTCTAAGCTATGAGTGAATATATTTTACTATAATTTATTTTACTTGTGTTGATGGAAAATGCATCTTCCTCTAATTTGCTAAAGCAATTAAGTCATCTCCTTTAAAATATAAAATGTTTTTAAAAGCTATGGTAAAGCCTGCAACAATGTCATGTCAGTCAAGCTATTTGAGGCTTTAGATATGTAAATGACCTGAAAATATAAAGTGAAGCAGTCATTTCCACAGAAATGCGCAGGATGCTTGTCAAAGAGGGTGCCAGGCCCACAGAACCGAGGTCCTGCCCGGTTCTTAGCCTGCTAAATACCCCAAATGCTGCACATCCAGAAAAATTCACTGTAAACAACAGCTTTTATTTTCCTTTCTTTCTACACTTTCTCCTATATGTTCCATTCGGTTTAGTTTGGAAACGGGCTCCWTCCTCCACCTGTAATTATGAGGTTTAGTTCCAGTGACAAGAGGAAGAGGACACATTTGTTTTCTGAACGCATCCTCAAAATAGGCTGAATAAATTACTRGGCTGACACTTTCCACTGGAGAGTGTGGTGTGTCCTGACCTGTCCCAGAGGGCAAACTGAGTCCAGCTTTTCAAAATTGCCAGCAAACTCAATTTGGAAATATTAAACCTTTAAAATACCCATTTGATTATAGCTTCATGGGAATAAATCTAACAATAATAGGGTTATAAAGTGGCATATTATAGTGCAAAAAAATAAATGTGTTGAGGAGCTTATTTTAAAACAAAACAAGCAGAATCCTGTAAATATAAACAGGCTAAAGGTGCCTGTTTTTTTTTAACCATTCAACCTGTTTCATTGTGCGTTAAGCCATGCTGACTGATGCCTTTTACTGCTCTGGAAAGCTCTCTGTTCAACTGACTGCACACTGAGCTGAAAGAGCCTTTTGTGAGTTCAGCTGGGAGATGTTCAGCTTCTGTGTTTCCAGAATTAAATCTGGTTTTAAAACAAATAAATAAAAATAAACGTTTCAGTGAGACGCACGCGAACGCCTTTTATTTCATTTATTTTTTTTTTTATTTTATTCAGGTTAAATCTCCATCCGAGAGCGACACACCTCCGAGGACAGAGACGCGCCTGTCGCATTTGTCATTTTATCCCCTAATGTGACTTAATGCAGCACACAAAACTGAGCAGTTTTGGTCAGTATTTAACAGTAATAATGGTTAATGGGGTCCGTTAAACTAAATGAATATGAGGAGCCTGTGTGTCCCATATAAGCCAGCCAGAGCGGACTTTACGCTCRATTTCATCACTGCTGCTGTCTTTGCAGACCTCATCGGATAAAAACAAGCAGATAAGTGAAGTGTTAATTATTAAGAAAGCGTCTAGAAAGGCGGTCTGTTGTCTCAAACTCGAGCCGGCATGATGATGATGATGATGATGATGATGATGATGGTGGTGATGATGAGGATGCGTGTTTATCCGCCGCGATGGCAGCGCTAGCTTACCTTCAACAGCTACAACGACCGGTATGGTCCATAATATCCATAGAATATCCATTATTGGTACTTGAAAAGCCCGGACATTCAAATAAAATCAGTCCCGAAAGCCATTGACAGCAACGAAAAAAAAAAAAAAAACCACAGCGGAGACTGACGGTCCTTCTCCTCCTATTGAGCGCTCCCAAAGCAGAGCGAAACGAACTCAAATCTGGACCAAGTTTGGGCGAAACCAAGAGCGCACAGACGGAGGGGAGCATGGAGCAGAGCAGGCGGTCAGTTCCTGCACTTCACTGCCACATTCCATCAATCCGTGCCATTTAAAACAGAAATAACTACTGTTTATCCCGTTAATGACGATAAATAGTTATAAATATGTATATTTTTAGTAACGCCCGGTAGGTAAATTGAACTTCCGTCCCCTATATTTCCGSTTTAATTTGCCCTGCTGTCAATCATCAACAGACGGACGCTCTCAGCGCCTTACCTAGCGATAATTAAGTGTTGAGGGACTGTGTATAAAAGATGGAGCSGCTCTTTCTCGGCTCCTCGGAGCTCAGAAAAGAAATACAGGTTATTGTTTTGTCAGGCGGAGCTCAGGTGTTTTATTGGAGCTTCACTTCCTGCAGATGTTCGCAGCTCAGAGGCGCTGATTGGAACAGGTGAGCAGCTGGAGACCAAAACACAATTAGGTTAAGTTTCATACTTTTTTTTTCTTTGTTGCTCCAAATGGATGGGGTTTTACTTTATTTAGTTACCTGTAACCTACTTTCCTCGTGCCGTGCAATGTGATTTTTGTTTTGCATTTTTTGTTCTTATATGTAAATATAAATGTATAAAAATAGAAATAAAAAATATATAGCCGTATTCAATAGAAGTAAAACTGTGTGGCTTCTTTTGTGCTTTATGTTTTCGGTAAACAAAGCATTATGCGTTCAGTTTAGCTGTCCAAGCAATTAAATGTAAAGATGTGTAGAATAATGACTATATGGAGAATTAATAGGTTTGATGCTTGGCTCTGTGATTAATAAGGATGATGCATGATTGTCTTTGTGTCTTTATTGTAGCTGGATCCACTTAATCCAAAAGACACAAAGACACAGCTGCTTCCTTCACTCAAGAGTTATGCATAACTGMATAATCTTAAACAAAAAAAATCTTTTAAATATTACTGCATTAGTTCTCCAGTATTCTTAAAAATACAATTTTCTTTATTTATGAGATTTTAAATTTTTTTATTGATTAAACTATATATATATTAAACTATATGTATGTATGTATGTATGTATGTATGTATGTATGTATGTATGTATGTATGTATGTATGTATGTATGTATGTATGTATGTATATTAAACATATTTGACCACATTTTATAAATAATAATACAGTATTGCTGACTCACCATTAATGCTCTCAATTACAGATTTCTACAGCTAATATTTTCAAAACAAGTGCCAAAACGTGGAACATTATGACAGAAAGTAAAACTTTTATTTGTTTTAAATGCAAGTTTCTTCAAGAATACAATTTGAAGGGTTTTTTTCTCACGACTCATAYTTTTAAAACAAAATTTTTTTAAACTATTCATACTGATTTTTATTTAAGCTGTTTGATAGAGTTGCGGATAATCTTTCTTAACAGTAAATTTGAATGGTGTATGTAAAAGACAGATGTTTATCAAGTATATTTATAGCTTATTGAGGTTTTGCTGCATTATAAAATTTCTTCTGAAAAATCTGCTTTGCATGGAAGATTAATTCATGTTGTGAGACACTTTTTTAAAAACATTTCTAAATGATGTTATTTAAGTTAATACTAATACTTTTTAACTTTTCAAAGTTATATTGAAGTGTAGACCTACATCAAATGCAGAGTAATTGAACAAATGAGACGCAGTGAAAATATTTGCTAAAAGATAAAACACGCTTCACGCAAAGTTTTCAGATGACTTCTTCTTCGAAGAAGTGGCCCCAAAATAAAAACCAGCTTGCACATGTGCTCCTGACAATCCACTGTGCAGAAGGACAGACATGCCTCCTGGATATGAAGCTTRAAGTTACTGAAGCTGACTGGGAAACAAGAGTTTAGAAGAAGTACTTTGTCATCAAACAGGCCTTTCTTATTACAAGCAATGGCGCTGTAGCTGTACAGCAGAARTCTGATTGGTTAAATGAACCGAGCTGATTTATTTGCCTCCACTGGGCTGGACTGTTGATTCCAGGTCACTTGACTGGCTGGCTTCAGATCATGTTCAGGTGACTTCCAAACAGATGGAACAAAATGGCAAGGCACTGAGAAAGCAGCTTTACTTCACTGTAATGAGTTCCATACAGGCTCAGTATTGACTCGAGCCAGAAGTGAAGCTAAAGACGCTGAAGAGATGATATTAATACTTCTTGAACATCTCTGACAGAAGTCTCTTCTTCACACTGCGCTATAATGAATACAACGCTCGCTACGACTGCAACGGAATATCTGAAATTCAAAGCAGAGACGTCTGAACGTGGCCGAATCCTTTTCTTGTTCTCCTGCAAGTCTGTAATCCGGTAAAGCAAAACATGCCGTACTAATGTTCCGTAACACAGCAGCATTAAATCCAAACAGGGACCACTGACTGCAGCAGCAAACAGAACACACACACACACACACACACACACACACACACACACACACACACACACA